TCTTTGTACAAGTTTTGGGTAAGCTTGGGGAGACTGGTCATTGTAAGGGGACAGACGTATTTACATGAACAATTTATGCACCAAAGGGTTGAGTGTGAGCTCCCCTAAGGATTCTGCAGTACACCCTCATGCTCAGCACTGCACGTTTCAAGCTGTTGCCTTCCTAATGGAGTGAAGTCTAGAGCACCCAGCTTGTAAAAGGGATGCAAAGTCCTCCGGCCATTCAATCTCTGCATGAGTGATATGTACCTGGGACTGGCCACTGGTGCACAGTTAGTTGTTGATAAAGATGTAATGTGCACTTGTGGTCCTGGAGGCCTGTTGGACTGCAGGAAATTAAACCCTGGACCTTCTCTGTGCCATGCCAGACAGTGATGTAGAGGTACCCTGACAGACATGGCTGCCCAGCACAATAGTGCCTACCCTGCTTGTTGGTGGGGCCTTTCCAAGCTTCAGGTATGGAAACTAAACTTCAGCACTAGGCCTTCAGTTTTGGTAACTTACTTTATGAAATGCTTTGAGCATTTGAGAAGTGAGCAATAAAGCTGAGCTTAGTTTCTGTGGGGAAAGGCTGCTGCATCTAAATTCCTAGTGAAGTCACTTCGAAAATCTAAAGGTGCGGTGGCCTTGCAGATAAAGCAGATAATGGTGACCTGTGGGACAGGAGAAACTTAAGGTTAAGTGGAGTAGGAAGTTGGTTTGGGTACGAGTGGCTTCAGACATGAACAGGCATGTTCAGACTCTGCATACAGGCAATTCTGTATACAGTGGCCACTATCTTTTATCGCTGGTGCCTGAGCAGAAGGTAAGAAATTATAAAAGGCAGCAACGCATTTCTGATGCACTGAGAAGAGTCAGATTCCTCTGAGCTTGGTCCCACTGCCTTCATCACACACTGTTTCCTCCCAAACTATCCAACCACACTGACAGCCCTGGACTAGAGAGTGAGCGAGGAAGTGTTGGTCTTTGACCTGTGGTGCTGCCTGGAGCTAACACCCTGCCCAACTCACTGTTCTGGGCATGGGGAAGTCCCCATGCTCCAGGGATCCAAATCCAGAAAGGACTTTGCTTGGCCTGTTGTGGTGAGGGAGGGGAGAGTAAATGTTTCACTTAGGTTTTTATCCTGCCTCTGAAATCTATTTTGTTCTTGCCATGAGCTCTTCCAGTGCTTGTGAGAAGTCTCAGGCTGGCTTGTCTGAGTCTGATGGAGTCGTGTAACTCTACCACAGATGAGGTGCAAGGAGTCTGCTCCATCAGCAGAGCTCAAGGGGCTAAGATGAGACTAATGCATTTTTTGCCTTGGATGTACCTCATACCATGAGGTTGATGCACCTTGCTTCAGACAGAGGAAACTCACAAGGAAAGGTTCAAAGATAGGGGTGGAAAAGGAGGGATCTGAGGGTTATCCAGCTAATGATTTCTGCTCGTCACCCAAGCTGTGACCATTTTTCTAGCAGAACATTTAAGTGTTGCTACTTGTTTTCTTTTTAAAACATGGTTTATGATCAGTTACCTTGAATGAAAGCTGGTTTCATTGGCTGAAGGTAAAAGTTAAGAGAATTCAATCTTTACCCCTTTAATAGTAGCTCCAAATTATCGATGAGTCCTCCATTACTCTTCCAAACTTGTCACCTGACTCTACTGAAACTTTCCTTGTATTGTTATATTATGGTATCCAAAATACTATGGTTTTCCTATGACAAACTGTGCTAGCAGGAGCATGATGTGAACTGATACAACAATTTTCTCTTTTTTTGAAACTTAAGTGCATCTTGTGCTGCAAACTGTAGTGAGAAGCACTTGTGTATCATTTGGATATTACCTGAGTAGTGAGATCCTGATCATGTGTTGCAATTGCCTTCTTTGATAACTCTTGCAAGGGGAATAGAGAATCGACTCCCTGAACACAGTTCAGTGTGATCATACTGTTATCTAAGTTAGTATTTTTTAGAGATGGTAGCACTCTCCCCTTCCTGTCTGAAATTGTATCACTCTATTTTCTGAATATATATTCAACAAATACATGAATATATATATGACATGTAAATATATTTTTTGAATGTATACTCATTTACATTCTGTTGCACACACATTGCATTTCAATAAGAGGGTAGTTAATTCATAGATCAGTATATAATGTAAAAAGTAGTAAAGAATTAGGCAATTCTCATGAAAAAAATGTTACAAATGCAAGCTGTTATTGTTTACCTAAGTATTACAGTCAAAACTGAAAGTAGCTTTTGAGATTCCTCTTTGACTGTAGGCCACAGCAGGAAGGTGAGGTTGAGTGATGCAGAAAAATCAACAGTGACAAATAATAATTAGAGAAGGAAGCTTTTCAGAAGAGATTTGAGAAAACCTGCATGAGGGAACAAATGAAACCAACATCTTGTGGCTATTTACATTCGGCTCTGCTTTTATGTGTGTTGTAGGCTAGCTAAGGGAATGAATGATGGTGAAGGTGAAAAGATTACAAGGCAAGGAAGTTACTGCCCTTTAAGAAGGCAGATGATAAAGAAGGAAGGAAAAAAGAGACAAGAAATAAAGGTGGAGAAGGAGGAGGGACAGTAAAACTGAAAATGACAGAAGAACATGCACCTCAAGCAGCAGCATTTGGAAATGGGACAGTAGGAAGCATGTGGTGCAATTGAGATGAAGACAAAGAAGAGTGAGGCTTTGTTGTCTTGTAGGACTGACTAGCACCTTGAGGAAAGAAGAAATTAAGCAGGAGGAAGAGATCATAGACGTCATTGCAAAAATTCATGCAGAAACCCTGGTGAGAGGGGAGGAACAGCTGTGAGAATGGAAGAGGCAGTCCTTGAGGGAGCCAGAATGGGTATAAGGGCACCTGCATACAAGTCAAAATAGGGCTGGGAGTAGCAAAAGAGCCAGAAATCCTGAGAACATGGTTCAAAACTGCCAGGATGCAGTGATGTCTGGCAGATCCCTGAGGATTGGGGGCTGCAGGGACACCTCATGGGGCTGGCAGCCAGTAGCAGGCTGCTGGGTGCACTGGGACAGCCCCAGGCATCGGGCACCTCCCTGAGGACAAGGCTGAGGCTGGGATGGGACATCTGCCCATGGGCAGGGGTGGGGATCAGACACAGCCTTGAGATGGCAGGACAGGGCCATGCTGGTGTGCATCACTAGGGACAGTTGTCAGAGAGTAAAATGGGGAAGGCAAGATGTGTTATTGGTGGTTGTAAAGATATTGCTGAATACATGATGTCAGTTAAGTTTCATAAACATCCATAGGTTTTGTTATGCTGTTGTATTTGTTGATGTATACTGCTGTCTTCAAGTATTGTTTAAAAGTGGTAAGAATGTGTAAACAATTAGAAATGTGAGATAAAAATATAGTGGTAAGGGATGTAGCTTCAGGAGCTATATACTGATCTCGCTCACCTTGCTTATCAAAAGCTGTTTCCTACCATTGCATATGATGCATAATAGTTCATCAATACAGGAAGAGAAAATAGTTTTCTGACTAGTATTTTCTTTTTCTTTTTGGTAAATACTAACATTTCACAGTTATAATAAAACGTGACACATCATCTGGAAATAAGGAGATTGTTTGAGCTTTAGTATTAAATGTTAACTTATTCTCTAATCATTGCATTAATACATCTTCCAGAATGCTCTTGCTCTAGCAAATTTCCATGAATGTGGTGCTTGGAAGCTGGTCATGCATTTATGTGCAGTGTGAAATTGAAGATACTCCTTTGGGCATAATTTTACTCAGAAATGTTCTAACATCATTAATAATGTATAAGTGTAACAGGTTTACATTAAAAGCAAGCCACAGACTGGGTCATTTCTAATCTGCACAATAATTCCTATGTGGCAATTAGTATTACAATACGTATGTAAAAATGGGAAGGGGGAGAATATACATGTACTGAATTTTTGAGACTAGATAACCTTTTGATTGATGACACGACTCAGTTCAATTCTGGTTGCCTACTCTGGCATGGTATTAAAATTGGTTTTCTGTACTAAAGCTCACATTATTGCTGTAAGAGAAGAAAAAGAGGTAATGGATATTAGATAGTGGAAAACTGTATGAAAAAATTCTTACTTTAGACAAAGCCATTTTAGGTAATTGTGATTGCCCACCGTTGCAGATGTGACTGTCTCTCTCTGGGTCGCTGTGGGCAACTTTTACCATGTATGAACAAACTCTGTAAGTGCGATGTGCATCTGGAGTACAAAGCGATTGTTTGTTGGTTAACAAACATAAAAGACAGGTAGGATGTAATGAACTCCTAGGCCAGGCATTGGTATGCATCCTGTCCCTGACAGGACACCTGAAGGGTCTTTGCTGGCCGAGCAGCTGTGAATGAGGTGGAGGAGGACCATCCTTCTCTGCTTCCTGAAACTGGTCTTCATTGCTACCAGGTTGCTGTGTGCCATCTGCTTGATTTTCCTCTTCAGGATTTGATGCCTTTCCACACTAGTGTTTTTCCTCTTGAACCCTTAAGGTGGTAACAAACCCAGTGTCACCCATCCTGCCTTTATTTGCAGTTTTACCTTTCTGATCTTGCACGGCTGTACTCTGTGCTTTCTGTGAGGTCTTTCTTGTAGCTTGGCAATTTCCTTAGAAGTCAGCCTGAGGCGAGGTGGGGGGGGGGGGGGGGGGGGGGTGGTGTCACACAGCAGAAGTGTTAAATGCTGGTCACATATTATCAGACATCAAATGAGGAACTTAAATTAATTATTCTTCAAATTTTAAGTGTCATGGTTGATGAATTCAGAGTCTTATGCAGCTTTAATATTTTTTTAAACAGTTTGCAAAAGTTTATTTTAATGCTGAACATTTGCTTTGTGGCAGTGCTTCTGTTCACAACTATTACAAGTGTTAGTAATGCCTTATGAGAAATGCAGTTTGAATAGGCAGTGAACACCACTTCTGGCCTTAAATAATCAGTTCAAATCTCCTGCAAATCTTTCGGAAGATTTTCCAAATACACAGCCTGCAATTGTCCTTTCTTCTGTTCTAGGTAATGGGCCCTGTCATGATCGAAGTTGTGTTTACAACCAGAGCAACATAGTAGATGGAGTTTACTGCCTCCCAATAGCACACTGGATTGAAATCTCTGGACATACTGATGAGATGAAACATACAACTGACTTCTATTTTAATATTGCAGGACATCAAGCTATCCATTATTCCAGGTAAAAGAAAAGTGCAGGGCTTGGCTGGTGTCAGGTGTTCAAACTGAAAATCTGTATCAACATAGTGTCAGCAAACTTTGAATGTGAAGCCGTGAATGGTAGTATGCATGTAACAGCAAAGTTTAACAAAGATTCAACACCCCGTTCCAATTAAATGTCACTTTTGACAATAAAAAGGAGAGATTCTGAGTTCAAGATACCTGCAGCCTGCACAGGTGTGTTAAGTTGCATTACATCTGAAAATGACTAGTAGTAATTTATGGATAAATTTATGAGGAATGGTCATTTTCAGATGCTTGTCCATATACTTGGGTAAATATGCATGTATGTTTGGAATTATTTTGCTTTCCTGGGACAGAAAAAGAACATCTCCTGGCAAAGAAAAGGAATATAATCCATCACCAGAACTTTAGGGCCTCACATTATGGCTCATATGTGGCAGCAACTGCCATTAATTACAACTGTTAAAGGTGACTTCTGCTTCTGTGCATGCATTAAAAAAAACCCCAAAACCTAAAACTTATACAAGTCTTAAAATGTTTGTACTTCCATGGTGTTCACTTGAGTTCACTTCACCAGTGAAGCACCCCGTCCTGAAGGAGACAGTAAAGCTTAAAGAGAAGAGGGCATCCACACTTTGGGGCTGCAGATAAAGCACAGGCTGTTATTTAGAGCAGCAGTCTTAGCACTGGTGGTTAACAAAGTGTCACTGAGGAATTTGGGACCATTTGTAACTTTTTCCCATCTCTGGTCATAGTTGTGGCAGCAAGTGTGTTGATTGATAATGCTTACATGAATACTGGCAACTGTGGTGTGCCACGTGCTGCTGATGCTGGTTACAGAGCAGTTAGTGATTCCAAAGGTATATGTATTTTTTTTAAGAGATCAAACCACCTCATACTTTCATTAGGTCTTAGCATTGCTTTGTGTGAATTTCTCCAGATTACTGTTTCAGCTACACCAACCTCACCATCTTGTCTCCTCGTTCTACTCTTTGTCTCCATCCTCCCACAGAGTGGGAAGCAGAATTGTCTTCTCATTAGAGTTGCAGTGTATGAGGGAAAAATCTCCCTCTCTCTATTGGTATCTCTCTCTCTCTCTATTCTTTTGGAATAGTATGGATTCATAAAAAACTTTTCACAGAGAGAGTGGTCAGACAGTGGAATAGGCTGCCCAGGGAGGTGGTGGAGTCACCATCCCTGGATGTGTTTAAGGGTTGTTTAGATGAGATGCTGGGGGATATGGTGTAGGGGAGAACTTTGTAGAGTAGGGCTGGTGGTTGGACTCAATCCCAAGGGACTTTTCCAACCAGAATGATTCTATGATAAGCACTGTTAGGCATATGTAAGTATTCATGTGGCTTGGTACCTTTTCCCTGAGACCCCCTCGAGCTATATAATACACCTGACAGACTATGCTGTTATCTGTATCTTAAGCATCCATTTCCAACAGCCTATCAGAGAAAAGATCTTGTTTATTACAAAGCACTGACTTGTCAATCCCAAATAATCTTTGCTTCGCAGAGGAAGTTTGTGAGAAAGAACAGCTGTCAGAAAGCAAATATCTAAGTACCAAAGGCTAACTTATCTTCCTTTCCAGAGGCAGCAGTGATCCATTTAATACTGCCTTATCTGCGTGACTGTGTTTCTAAGATTAGGTAAAAAGCTGCAGATTCCACTAAAGAATATTTGAAGAAAATTTTCTGACTTGTGTAGTCTTTTCAGATGAGGATCTTCTCCTCCATTCTCCTCTCACACACACACATACCTTCATTGCAAGGCAAGCTTATATGTACATCTTCAGTAATTCTTATCTCATTTCTTTGAACTATATTAATTGAGGATACTGCATAACAGTCCTGTTACATAATTATTTTAATACTTTGAAGACATGCAGCCTTAAATGACTTTAATTATTAACAGTTGGGGGCAGATTCACCATTCTGCTGGTTATAACAAAGCAGCCCAAAAATACTGGCTAATTAAGATTTTTTTTTTTTTCTGGCAGAACAGCTGAAGTGAGCTGATGAAAATGTGTGCATTTTTGTAATTGATTTGTTGATTAGAAGAGTACTATGGAGATTAATATCACCAAAAAAAAAAATAAAATCAAAACCCCCTCCCAAAACAGAAGCAAAGAGCCAATCCCTCGGCCTGTATGGTTAACAGCTCAGTGTATGATTGGATCATAGTTATCCAACTAAGGTTACTTTTTTCCATGCTGTAACAGAAGCAGCAGGGAAGCTTTATGAACACAAATTCTGAGCCCCGTCACCAGCTGTAGAATCTTTACAGAACTGTGGCAGCTTAAAAGAAGTGATTTATCAATTAAAACTTCTGATGTGAGCCCCTTCTCTATGTTGCTCCACTTAATAGGATTGCCATGTGCGAATTAGCTGGGCAGAAAGTTTTATCTATGTCAAAATGGCCTCCCACGTGAGTCTTTGGACTGGTTTTACTTGTCCTCTGTCTAGTCACAACAATTAGAAACAGTTGATCAGAGCTTCACTAGCACCTTCCTTCTTCATGAAGTATGCGCTTCAACTTTAAATGAGCTGCAGCAGGATGGGAAGAGCCTGCTTCCTGCTGTTGCCAAAGTCATTCTGAACAATGCTAAGGCTGACAGCAATGCTCTGGGGAATCAGATTTTTCTTATTCATTATAGATGTATTTGCTCATAAATCAGCGAATTTATATTTAAACATATTTAGAGAATGCAGTTTGTGTTGGTCATTCAGGTTGGAGAGTATACGATGGTTTTTTTTAAGCATAACAGGATTTGAATTAATTTTTTTAACGTGTGAAGTGGAACTTGCCTGCAGCTATGGGCTCATGACTGATACCTCCATGGCATTAGTGTTCACTTGTTTTGGACATGTAATGACACATCTCACCGAAATCTGATTCAGGAAAAAATAAGTCCTTTTCTCTTTTGTGTTAGGTATTACTGCAATAAGATGCCTTGAAATTGCAGGAGAGTTCACTTAGGACACCGTAATTTTCCAAAGCAAATTAGAGGTATTGTAATCTTTTCTGGGAAAAGATGACTTCAGAAAATTTGTAAATCTGGGGCATGTTAGCTCTGTTTCAGTTCCATCTGTGAAAGGTAGAACTTCCTAATTTGTAGGTGTTAGATACCTTATTATTTATATAAAAAATTCTGCAGTTCTCAGAAGAAAGGTATTGCATAAGAGCAAGAGAGGGAGTGACACCCGAAATTACAAAATCCTTAAATAATATGTTGGAGACAATGATGCTTGATGGTAGAATTAGGTGCTATGGGAATGAATATCTCCAAAGGGAAAATCCATCTAGTTACAGTTTTCTATTTTCAGACTAATTTTAGTTTCTCAGATCCACTCCTGATAAGTAGTGAGTTCCCATAGTTTTTGCCTACTCATTCAAATATGATGTATGACCACCACCTCTTTGGTTTTGGACATATATTTGATGCCATATATGGTGTCTGAGTTTTGATAATACATGTTCAAATTGACTGTCTTCATAATCGTAATTTTATTCATTGTGTGAGCTTTTTATGGATCATATCTCCTAAAGCTGATGAAGAAAAATATTTTTTACATGCTTTACATGCAATGGATTCTGTAAGTGAATTCCTCAGACAACAATGCTAGTTAATCTCTAACTAAAGTATTGTTACAACTGCTAAACATTTTAGAGGAAAATACACAATCAACTTTAAAAGAATGCAGTGGGGGAGTCACTACATGAGAGTAGCCATGGGTCCTGAAAACAATTTTTTAGGTACAGTTTTTATAGCAGCTTTTTTTGCGCTTAGGTATTAAGGCCATTAAATATTAATATTCAATGTTTATGGATTGGGTGGGATGCTCCTGTAACTGGATATAATCCAAGAAATTGTGAAGTTGACAAATACGTTGCTATCATCAGTGTTTATGTCCTGTTTTGTTCTTTAAGACAAAATAAAGCAAAAGATAAAAAGAGAATAAACCCTTGTGCTTAGAAATACTATTTTTGTTTGTTTCGTGTTGGTTGGAATTTAAACTTAATTTATGATGTAGTTTTTACAAATGCTTTGTAGATTGTTGGTAAAATGGTTTCCTTTGACACTGACATTGTAATGTAGGTTATAGTGTAAGCCAAGTGTTAAGTGGGGATGATCAGGAGAGTCACATAAAATATGCACTCCTGATGTGTGCTAAAATGTTAATGTAGATAGGTGAGTGGATGAGAAATGATGCAGGGCAAAATCCATATGCTTCTTGTTTGCCTTCTGGAGTCACTAAAGCAGTATTCTGCTGATAAGCACTGAGTTTCCTTTTGTCTATAGTAAGTGAAGAAAATGAGCACTTACTTCATTGACATGCATCTTTAATTGGGGTGGAAAACAAGGTGGTGGTTGAGTATATTTTTGCATTAGAATCACTGGAGAAGGGAAATAATGTAACTTCTGTTAACTTATTTGGGTCATACAAGGCAGATATTGCTATTTGAATGTTAGAACTCTGCCAGGATTGATGAATGTAAAGATAAATTTAAAAGACATCTGTGGTAGGACTCAGTTTGAGATTACGACAACTAAATTCATATGTCTGTATACAGCAGTTTAACTCACTGGTGACTAGATGTATACTTTAGAGTAAATTGAGAATTGAATTAGGCTCTGAAGTCCACTGATGATGCTGATGAGATCTCTACTGTTTTATAATGAGACATTAAACATCCTGTCTGGTTTCTTGAATGTCAATGTCTAGCGTTATTTCAGATGCTCTAGAATTTACTGTGTGGCTTCCAGCTGCTGCATGACAGGAACATGATTTCTTATAACTTGTTGGCCGTATCTGTGAGACCCATCTAGGTGTTCCAGATGCTATAGGATGTGTCAGATGGCAGTGGGAAGCTGTACTTAGGCAATGCATTGAGCATTGCTGTGCCTGAAGACACACAATTTTAGGTAACCCGGGCTAGGTGTGTTCATCTTGACCTTGTATTCCATCCCTAGCCTATATTAATGAATAA